TAGTACTACACTCTTACCCAGTACACATGGAGAAGCACTTCTACTATTTATACTATGGGTAAACACTTTACAGAACAAAACAGTCATATTAGTGAATACCGATAACTAGACTTATGTCTGATTTTCAGGAAAGTCCAGATAAGCAGGGCCATGGCTTGACTTTTCTGGGACTTTTGCATTTTACGGACTGGGGTCTGCCCCAATTAGTCTGGTTTATTGAGGTTTTCCTGTATACAGCATACCAGGTGCCACTAAGAGGGTTCAGGCTCTCACTTGACTCACTATCCAAGTTGTTGTACAGTACACCCAGATAATTTGTGGATATTTATTTCACAGTCCTCTATTATTCGTGGATGACACCCTGGATATACCCAAGAATGACTGCAGGTAGTTTTAAAGTTGCTGACATTTTCGTGGCCAGGACAGGGAGCCATTCGTTCTGGAAACAGCATTTCCTTCACCGTGCTTTATTAATAACAGAGCACAGAGTTAGACTTGAGGGTAGACTCAACGTTTATAATACTACATTTGTTTCTGTTTATTTGTGAGAGGATTTTCCCATTATTAGTTATTTGCATGTGTTTTGTGTTTGTGTCTACACACACAACACATACACTGTATATATACAATACAGGTAAAAGAAATAATTGTCCTAAGGGCAAACACAAAGAGGGAATATACATATCTTTGTACACAAGTAACCCCCCACCTAGTCAGCAAACTGTTATATGCGCATTTAGCGATTCGCGGACATTTTGAGAACCTAACCCCCTCGAATTTGAAGGAACTACTATTTCTCTATTTTTATTCCTAAATAAACTGTTTCAGTATTATTAAAAAAGGTGAAGGTTTAAGAGAAACACATTAAGACTTACCTTACTGTAGTGGCCCAAAGTGAGCTTGACCACAATGGCCTCAGTGATGCCCAGAAGCTTGGCCACCTTCACCTCCTCTTCTCCAAGTGACAAATACTGGCCACAAAATAAAGTATATGTTATATACTGCATTTATGACACTATTAATATTTTTAATCACACCTAAATAAAGCATTACTAGTGCTCAGTTTGAAAACTTGGTCGTCACACAGGGAAGTTCCCCTATCAGGATGCGCTAAATCATCATAACACGAGTAATGATGTGGTCAGTGGATGAGAGGAGTTCGCAGAGCAATGACAACCACCAGATGTTTTATTGGGGTTTAATAATGACAATAAACAATGATAAAATAAACTGGTTAAAGTTATGGTAGTAATAACATCTCTTGGTTTTCTTTGCTCTGAAGAATCCATAATGTGATGATAATTGTGGTGGCAGCAGGGTGCAGCAGCAGCAGGTTTTGTGCACTACAGCACCACACACCACATGTTGCTCTAGGTACCCGCTTAGACTCTCTGATGTACTGTACTCAGAGAGCTCTGTAAGATACCAAATCACTAACAGTATCAAGGGCAGATCCAGGAAGGGTCTTGGACGTCCAGACCCACCCCCTTTCACCAGAAAATTCCAATACATTTTCTTTATGCAGTATTGTACTCAGGTATTTTTGTAAAGTAAAAAGTAATTACTATTGACCTCAGAATTTCTCCTAATACCAAGTGCACATGGCCTCAAAATGACCATAATACTGGTCAGACTTAAAAATATTTGGGGGCTTACAATGCCCCCGCCCCCCAAAAAACTTCCCCCAGCTGGGTGGGCTCACTTTGCTCGCCTGTTCCCCCACCCAAAACTTCTTGGACCTCCCCCCCCTTTCATATTTCTGGATCTGCCCCTGAGTATACTGTATGCTTGAATTTTTAAGCCTAACCTAACCATACAGCCAAAAATGAAAGGGTTATTCTTACAGCAGTGGAGAAGATGCTGGGGATGATCTTGACGGAGGAGACAACAGCGTAGGGCGTCACAAGATAGAGTAGATGAAGGTGACTGTTGAGTGCCAAGTTCTCCCGGGCGACACACAGGTCCTTGTACAGACGACCGGCCAACTTTAGGTCAATGTTGCCTGTTAAGCAAATCACATATTTTTGGTCACTCTTTTACACAGATGAATATAAGAGAAAATGTAACTAATATGAGCCTTTAACCTTTAAGTAATAGAGCCCTGAAAGTCAAGAAGCCTTGTTGAGAGCTTAGAGAGCAGCTGGGTAGTGAGAGTATTGTACAGTACTGAAGTCTTGTGTAGAGGCAGACTGAGATGGTTTGGGCATGTGGAGAGAATGGATGAGTTCAGCTGGGTCAAAGGGCACAGGAGCTAGGGGAGGAGAGTCATGGGTAGGCCAAATATGACATGGGGAGAAGTTGTAAGAGATGACAGAGTTAAGAACCTGACAAGAGACCGTGCAGCTGCCGTCAGGTAATGGTAACTAACCCACAAGGGTGTGGAAGACGGCCGTATAATGGTGAACAATAGAACATAAGGATGGCTTTAAATACATTAAAACTTTACCTCTTCAAGCTATTATAAAAGTGTGTGTGTGTGTGTGTGTGTGTGTGTGTGTGTGTTGCACAGGGTGGTGTAATGCATCTAGTGTTGCAGCATTATGTTAGTGTTAAGGTGCAAGCACTGCTTGCTCCCTCTCGCTTTCAGCTGCTGCCGCTGGCTAACCCTGGTGGCGAACAGGAAAGCAATTTGCATAAGTCTTACCATGCCAGTACACAGCCCCCTCACCATCAAGACTCCTGCTGTGCCTCCTCGTGGCAACACACGGTAACTGGGTGCCTCGTGGGCCCAGGCTAGACCAGCAGGGGATCTTGGAGTAGCAGTTGGCCCCAGAGAGATGACGCATAAGCCCACTGGCATGTGGACACGTCCTGGCACCTACCAACCACTGCCCTGCTGCCTTGCGGATTAATCTTGGGAGATCACTGTAAGGTGATCCTTAGAGTAACCTTTCAGCCTGTGGGTTGGCAGCGCGAGAAATCAAGATCAGCTTCAGCTTAAAGTAGCCGGCAGCGTTCGCGCCAATCAGCAGCGTCAAGCGGTCTTTTGCCGCTTTAAAACCTGGTGCTCTTTTCTCCTCCTTGGAGATATAGGTCCTCCCATGAATCCTCTTCCAAAAGAGACCAGTCTCATCCACATTGAAGACTTGCTTCGATGAGTAGCCTCCTTCCTGGATAAACTGCTTTAATTAAGGAGGGAATGTCTCGGCAGCAACCGTATCTGAACTAGCAGCTTCACCAGTCATCTTTATGCTGTGGAAGTTATAACGACATTTAAACCATTGAAACCATCCCCGGCTGGCCGTAAAGGTCTCATCCTTCGATCCTTCACCCTCTGTTTCCTTTATGTCGTCAAACAGGGATCTGGCCTTATGCTGGATAACCATAAGGCTCACAGGGGCATTGCGTTGATTCTGGTCCTCCATCCACATAGCCATCGTTTCCACCTTTACTATCACAGTACTTCTAGTACGAGTTGTTTTAGTTGCACTGAGAGTAGTACCACTTCCAGCACTAACCTTAATCTTGTCAGCATTGGTCCGGATAGTGCGCACCGTTGTGGGGGTTAGACCAAGCACAGCGGCTATGTCCACAGAGCGTTCCCCTTTTTCAAATCAGGTTAATACATCCATTTTCGTAGCAAGAGTAATGATCTTATGTTGCCTTTTCACTACACTAGCATCAGTAGCACTTGATGGGCACTTGGAAACCATTTATAATGGTTATAGTAGTTTTAGAGCAAAAGCACTTAAGCACACACGAATGATGTGAAGTCGTAACAGACTGTCTTGGCGTGGCATGGGGATGCCGTGACATTCGAAGATTGAGGGCAGCGTGCTGAGCTGGAAGAGCGTAGCACGGCCAGAAGAGAGGGGGTGATGCGCTGTAAAAGGTAGTCCGTTACAATGCAAAACAACGTAGTGATGAATCACCGGATAGTTAAGCAAATTTTGGGTCTCTAAAGTTTAGCGATGTAGTACCGAAACAAGTTTAAGTGGGACGACGTTAAGCAAAGGGCTTACTGTACATCGAAATCCCCGAGGTAGAGGATCTCGGTGTTGGGGTGTGTGGATAGCAACGACTCATGGCAAGAAGTGAGATAATCAAAGAGTTCCAAATAGTTGGTAGAGTTGGGAGAAGAGTACAGTAGAACGTCGATTTAAAACGATTCAATTTAAGATTATTGATATAAAGCGACACCCACAATTAAGGAAAATAGTTTTTATTTAAAGGGAATCTTTCCTATTTTGCGTGAGTCAATCTGACACATCACATTTTAAAATTCGCGCCAAATGTTTCGCTAGGCATGCTACACTGTCCTAAGGGCAAAGCTGTACTGTATATGTACTCAAAATAATGTACTAAATGATTACTAAATATTTTGTCTTGTGCAAACTATAGCATGTCTATAATCAAACTAATCACTATCTTATAAGAATTCCAGCAATGTAAATTATATCCTCCCTGGTCACTTTTGTGACATTTTATCAACAAAAAACATAAACTCAATCTAAAGGACATAAATAAACAAATAAATACTTCACTAGACCTTCGGCGCCAACTGTCAAACATATTACCTCACCTCCCTCCCCCCCATCTTCCCAGCCAGTAAACAGACCATTTCACATCCCTTAATTTTAGCCGAGTTGATTTACGAGTGTTTGTTTTAACATAATACTACAAAAAACAATGTTTTGTTTATTCTAGGAGATGGGCTTAGGTGCATCTGGGTAGACTGTCAGTCTTTTTAGTATTTTGTGTTTCTCTCAAGTACCAAACTAAATTATTCCATTTAAACAACACTTCGATTTAGTGCGAATTCGGTGTAAAGCGACCTCTCTTGGAACATATCTTGTGTTATATGATGTTCTACTGTATAGGAAACAAAGAAAAATAGCGTGTGTGTAGCCACACACAGGGTGGTAAAATGCATGTACAGGTTGACCATAAAAAATCCAGCAATCGATAAACCGGAAACTTCAGTTTCCGGCATGGATTTCGTAGCGAATTTTCAATTTTTTTTTTTTTTTTTTTTTTTTACGGGAACCAGTCCACCCAGGCACAGGTCGCTGACCCACATCGGGGCCTGGGGGGCGAAAATGTAATAATAATAATAATAATAATAATAATAATAATAATAATAATAATAATAATAATAATAATAATAATAATAATAAAGAACCATAAAGAAATACAAAATGAAAAAAATCAAAATTGAGGAACAATATATGAATGTTGTGTTAAGAGAAACAATTGAGACCCTGCAATTGTGTGTAAATGAGGCAGAAAGTCAGATCAGCAACCTGGGACTTAGTCACAATTTTCGTGATGCCATATGGCAGCAGGATCTACCATAGACAACACATTATGCTTCCAATATCTTCCCAGGTGGTAGTACCTCCCTATTTGGTAGCTACCTACTACCTATTTAATGAAGATATATGTTTTAGCTCATAAAATTCATACAAATTACCCGGCCAGAATATAATTTACATTGCTGGAATTCTTACAATTTGATGATCATTTTGAATATAAACATCATATATTTTGCATTAGACATACAAATTTTAGATATAATGTTTACTCTGAGTAAATATGTTATCTTTTGTGCAAAATATATGAAATTTATATTCAAAATATTCCTGGTCTTACAAGGAATCCAGCAATGTCAATTATATTATCCTAACTTAAGTGTTTAATTTTCTTTGTTTAAAGGACTGTACAGGTAGTCATTTTCTGTTAAACTTATACAGCAAATATAACCATCAGTTTTCCGGCATTTTCGAAAATCCGGTATTCCTCAGGTCCCGAGGTTGCCGGATTTTTTATAGTCTACCTGTAATGTGGCAGCATTATGTTATGTTAAGGTGCAAGCACTGCTTGCTCCCTCTCGCTTTCAGCTACCGCCGCTGGCTAGCCCTCGTGGCGAACAGGAATGCAACTTGCATAAGTCTTCCCCTGCCAGTACACAGCCTCCTCACCATCAAGACTCCTGCTGTGCCCCCTCGTGGCAACACACGGTAACTGGGTGCCTCGTGGGCCCAGGCTAGGTAAGCAGGGGATCTTGGAGTAGCAGTGGGCCCCAGAGGGATGGCACATAAGCCCACCGGCATGTGGACACGTCCTGGCGCCTACCAACCACCGCCCCACTGCCTTGCGGATTAACCGTGGTAGGTATAAGGCTACTGGAAGTAAACCCTGAACAAAAAATTTGTGGTGGAGCCCCACATTAGGCAGAAATGCTCACAGAGCTCCAACAAGACCCTAATGGTGGTATAGGCAGAAGAGGTGACTACACCGGCGGACGAAGGCAATGCCTGATTGACAGGCTACTAAGACGAAACCCAACAAACTGGGCTATAGGCAGTCCATTGCAACTCTCCCTCTCCCCAGTCGTTGCAACACTTGCACCACTGGATCAGAAAAAGGGAGAGCCAAGATGTGTGGTTACAGCCTGCGCTCCTGCCTCACCACATAAATCAACTCACGAAAAGCCATCATCCAGTTCATCATGCCTCTCATCATCATCAAAACCTCTATGCCCCCAAAGTGGTGATGGGTACAGGCAGAGATGACTGCCGGGAGTCTCTAATCACAACTCTGCACAGGGCGGCACAGATAAGATGGTCGTTTATGCACTGGGATCTAGGCAGCAGTGCAATCCGGTCCTGTCTGTGAGACTGAGCAGCTCTTTCGAGGAACCATTCTGCTCACCCCACATGGGGAAGGGGCTAAAAAAGGTGCCCTAACCATAGCCTGCCTAAAAACCCAACCTGGATGGGCAATTTCACCCAGTAAGGTCATCCATATGTAGTCAAAAACACAACCAACATCACAGATCCAAACAAAAACAAACCATGGAATGTCAGGAACCTTCTGGATACTGGCACAAATGCACGTCCTGAAAGAAGAACTGCCCTTGTGGCAAAAGAGCTGGCTAGGTATAACATCTACATAGCAGCCAACAGTGAGACCCGGCTCCCAGATGAGGGCCAACTCACAGAACGGGGGTCTAGCTACACCTTTTTCTGGAAGAGTAAGCCTGCTGTAGAGAAAAACTGC